TAGGTCTATAACTTATACCTTCTATTTTATTAATATATAACGCATTTAACATATCAAAATTTACTTTGGCAGTGAAATTATTACCATTGTCTGATCTAACTACTTTCATTGCTCCATTAGACAGAATGAAATTAAGTAAAAATGCAGTTGTTGTTTTAGCATCTGCGTTTCTACAAGTTTTTACCACGCAATATTTTGTCCTTCTACAGGTCACTATTAATTTATATATGATTCCTCTCGAATTCATTAAGGGACCAACATAATTAATTGTTACTTTCAAAATGGGTATTCCATTTTTTAACGAGTACGTACGTATTTTTCCTACTTGGGCTGGTTTGTCTGGTTTACGTTTTTGACAACAAATACAAGAAGTAACATGCTATTATTTGTCAATGCATATAAGGCCAATGATATCTTGTCCTAATTTTATTATAAACTTTATGGACTTCTAAGTGTGCAGCACCTGACAATTTATTAATATGAAAATTTTGAATTACTTCGTTGGTGAGTATTTGAGGAATTGCTAATACTAATTTAAGATTGCCATTATTTTTTTCTTTATAGTAAACTAACCCATTTCTATTGATTTTGCTTTATTTTGCCATTTAATATCAGTTATTTCTGAATTTTCTAAGATGGCAATTATATTTTTTAAATAGCTGTCTCTAACTTGAAGCATTTTTAAATTTACTGGTTCAACAATATGTATTTGATGTTCATTTAAATTACCTTTTTTATAAATTATTTTAAATTTGAACTTGATCAATTTTGTTCTCGATCTGTTAAAAATTTTCAATTTTTATTAAAATTTTTGTAATTGTATTTAAGTTTTATGATCAGTTCAGACTGTAATGATTCTACTATGAAGATATTGTTTAAAATTAATCCAACTGAAATGTAACACTGTCATTTCTAATTTTAATGCCGAATAATTGTTTTGTGCCGTATTTAATATTTTTGAAGCATATGAAACTAGGTGTATTTCATTATTTTCATGTATTTTTTGTAAAATTACGCCTAGACCGTCGGTTACTATTTTACTAATATTATTTACAAGTGATGATTAAAATAAGTCAAACTTGATTTATTTGTTAGTTTTAATTTAAGATTTTTAAACGCTATTTCTTGTGTTTCCGAACATGGAATTATTGATTTTTTTGATTTGAATTTTTCTTTAATTAATAATTTTGTAAGCGAATGTGCTAATTTACTAAAATTTGGGATAAAACTAAAAAAATAATTTGCTAAACCTAAAAAACTTCGCAGTTGTTTTATTGTTGTTGGGGAAGAAAAGTTTTTAATGGCTAAAAGTCCTTCCTCCATGTGTTTTATACTTTGTTCATTAATAATATTTTTAAATAATTTTAGTTCAGTATAGCCAAATTTATATCTCGAAATTTTTAATTTTAAGTTATATTTTAACAATCTGTAAAATTTTATTTCAAGTGCATTGAGGTGATCTTCGAAAGTTTTACCAAAACATACACAATTATTCAAATAGCAACAATTAATTCTATAATTCTATTAATAATTCAGGTTAATTCTGCCATTATTTTATTCATAAATTTTTGAAATTTTTGAGATGCATTAATTAAATCAAAGAGTAATCGAGTAAATTGATAATGACCTGTTAATTGTAGAAAAACTGGTAATTTTTTTTGAATTTTCATTTAATTGTAATTAATAGAAACCTGTTATTGTGTCCAAGCAAGAAAAATATTTCCTGCAAGTAAATCGTAAATATTTTGTGTAATGGGTAAAGGAAATGCTTCTTTATGCGTTTTTTTATTAATGTGTTTATAATCTAAGACCATTCTATATTCAGAGGCTGTTTTATTTTTTGTGCCTTGCGGCTCAACTTTTGATACTAAGAAAATCAATGAAGAATAAGTACTTAATAAATGTTCAATTATGTCTGCTTCTAATAATTCTTTAGTTTTTTTTTCAATTTATTTTATTTTTGAAAGACTCAATTTAAAATTTCGTTAATTTACTGGAATGTTTAATAATTTTATTTTTATTGGCACCACATCTACATCACCTAAATTCTACTTAAATTGCGAAAAAATATTTTTATAATTATTTAATAATTGTATTAATTTGCCTTTTCGCTGAGTTATTAAGTCTTTTGGATTAATATCAAAATTTTACATGTTATATTCGGAGATGGGTAGTCAAGTTTTTTTGAATTTACTATCGGTCGGTAATGATTATGCGTAGTGTCAGTATCATTAGATATACTATAAATATCCTCACCTTCAAGTCTATCATTATATTTAAAACGTGAGTGTAAAAATATGCTGTATCGTGATTTCAGTGATGGGAAATCGTAGATGACAATAGAATTCGTTACAGCAGTATTAATTTCGTTTGAAAGTAGACCCGGTGTCCAGTGATATGAATTATAAAAAATAGATACAATTTTTTTCCCAGGTTTATAATATGCTAACGCGGTATAATTATTGTCGCTCGACGGTGTTTCTTTTATTACTATTAAATTTAAATTATAGTGATTTATGACAGCCGCTAAATCTTCGGTTTATAATCATATTTAATTTTTATATTTTGTTAAATTTAACAAATTTAACAGATCTTTAATTTGTTTAAAATTTACACTTATTTGTTCATTGTTTAAGATTTTAACTAACGCGTGAATACCACAATTACTATCTGTTGGTACGTTTTCAAGTTTAACGAACTTTGATGCTAAATAAGTTTTTGATTTATTTATTGATTCGTATATGGTTAATTTATTTTTCACATTTAATACACTTTTTGTTTCATAGATTGTTAAGTTGTTTATTTCAAGTTTATTCATTTTGAGATTTACTTTATAAAAAAGGGGAAATTGTTTATCGGTGTCATTAATTTGTTCAGCTAATTTTTCTAACATTGTCATATTTTCATTATTATTATTCGTATTTATTTCGATTCTATTTTCGTGAACTTCTGTCGATTGGTTATTTTGTTTCAAACTATCTTCAACAGTTGAAAAATTACTTAAAATGTCAGACTTCGGTATAAAAGTGAAACAGATTTTAGTTTTTATATTTTTATAGATAACTATTTCTTTATTAAAAAAGTTTAATTGTACTCGATATTCACTAAAATATTTGTACCAAGTAATGCTAGTCCTGTAAAATTTAAAACTAATACGAATTGGGTTGGGAAAATCAAATTTTTAAATGTTATATAAATTTCCATTCTACTCGTACCTATCACTTTTAAAATTGAGCTGTATAAACTTTGATATTATTTGTTTCACTTAAAGAATTAGTTAACTTAATTACTTGTTCACTATTAATTATGGAAATCGTTGCTCCGGAATCAAGTTTAAAAGATGTTTCTATGTTATTTATATGTCCCATGCCATTACTTCAAGTGTAACACCAAGAATAGGTACTTCATCAACATTTTCAGTACAACTATAAATTTGTTCAACATTTAATAGTGGTCTGACGTCGATACTGTGACTTACGCATTTTTTTTGATTATTAAATTGTATTTTATTCGAAGAATCATTATACTCATTCAAGTCTCCTTGATTTAATTGTTTGGAACTATGGTAGTTTTTATGATAATAATTATTTTTATATCATTGATTATAATAATTATTTCTATTATAATTTACAGGTATATATATTTATTCACCTTTGGTCCGGTATAGATCGATCTGGACCGGACCAGACCGGACCGCGGTCCGGTCTTTTTGGTCTCCGTGGCTTAAATTTTAATGTGGTCCGGTCTTTTCAGTCTAGTCCGTCTTCAATTTAAATTCGGTCTATATGGTCCGGTTTAGTGATATTAATAATGTATAAATAATAAATATTACATGAAAAATTAAAAACATAATGGTATAATTAGTTATGTTCTTTTAATTTAGATTAAAATGTTTTGAAACACCAAAATGGTTTATAACATATCTATATTGTCTTATTGTTGACATAATATTCACCCATTATTATTGACTTATAAAAATAACGCAAAGTAATGAAATTAGGTGCATTGTAATTTAATTATTATTATTATTTATTTCTAAATTTACACACTACAATAAGTAATAAAAATATGGCTTTATAATTAATATTTTGAACATCATACTTCAAATTGTCGTGAATGTCAGTTATCAGAAATAAAAAAAAAATTTTTTTTAAATCATTAATAATCATCAAGTAATTATTTTAAATTAAATATTCATGATCATTAAACTAACCATTGCATTTTAAAACAATGGCAAATGTTTTGACGAATATTAATATCAAACTATAAAACTATTGAACAGGGCTCGTAACTTCATCAATAGCATGCTTTTTTTGCTACATTGAAAAACAAACCTAACCGTACATCGTTTTTATTTGTTAGGTCCGGACCTTGTTTTTAGTAAACTATCCGAATGGCATTTTATTTTTAAACTCGGGTCCAGTCACATACCTGATAAAGAGAAACGTAACGAAGATCCATGATGACCATGATGTAGTACTATACAAGTACGTGCCGTCACCACGTCGGTACTGGAATCAACCCATGTGCGTGACAAAATATAGTTTTGTAAATCAAAGAATTGCACAAGCGATCTCCCTCGAGAGGACAATGAACAGCTCGGCGTTATTTAAAACAGTAATGTATAAGTTCATTTTTGCACCACCTGGACTATGGTAAGTAAAAAAATAGAGCAGCAGTCTTTTATCCCGCTGCCTAATCCCCATGCTGTCTTGCGCATGCCGACTTCTTTGGTTACTAATTCTGCCGCTGCCACACCCATTGCCTCCACATCTACTACTTAACCGAGATATTTCTCTTGCGTATGTGCATATGACATGGTTAACACATACGTGAACAGCATTATCGTTTATCAAAAATATCTCTATCAGTTATCAAATAAAATATTATCATTTTCTACTTTCGTGCATATGACAACATTTACATATCACGTACGAAAGCAGCATTATCAGTGATCACACGTGTTTTTATCAGTTATCGAATATTATGTTATGGTTTTCGCGCACGTGCTTATGATATATGTGAACAGCATTAAATTTGTAAATTAATGACCTAATCCTAGATATAAATTTAATACAATCATATAAAAATTCAAACCTTCTCGATATTAACTTAAGTCAAATCACTACCGAGAGAATAAGTATTATAAAAAAGTTATGTGATAAACAAATTATTAAATCTACTTCTAAAGAACACGTAAATTATCAGGCAGCTCAAAATGTGTATAGTCGTATAATTAGCTGAACAATGGATACAGCGGTGGAATGGGTAACACTCATCAGAGTCAAATCTTTAGTTCATATGACTTGTAAAATTTTTTATTTAATTTAATTATTTTTTTTTTTTTTTAGTAAATCGTTGATGTCATACTACAGCTGTCACCACCCAAATTTTCGAGCATGTCTCTAAATTATTCTATTAATCAATCACAAACACAAATAATTAAATCTTCAATTTATTTCTATTGTAAAAGTAAAAATATTTATTTATATTTTTATTTTCGGTTATTCATCAAACCATATCACATACGGTCATTTCACCATTGCCGCCACCAACCAAATCACTAAATGACCAACGAAAATTAGCCGACGAATTCAATCATTTCTTTTCTGATACGCAGCCATTAGCGGAAACGGATGACTACTTACGATTCAGTCTTATCAACAATTTTTTTAGTGCCAAATCGTAGTTAGAATATGCATCCCGCGCAAACCTACCTATTGAGAACATCATCATCATCGAGTTTTATAAACATGGAGCAAGATGGTCATACATCTAATATAAATAAAGTAATTTTTATAAATTAATAATTAATTAATTAATTAATTAATTGCCTTTTAAACAACAGAGAAACAGAAATCAATTTGCTTCTGTCAGAGTTGGGCAAACCAGTCAAGGTTTCTTTGAGTAAGCAGTAAGTGCACATAACAATATATTTTATTATATTCGATAAAAATGTATGTCTTAACATTTTCTCTCGATCATTGTTGTTGCAGATTCATAATGGACCCATTGGAAGGTAACGCGTTTTACACTAGACTGGAATATTCAATTAGTGAGAATATTACCTAACCCACATACTACATAGTATACTTTTTTTATTACTTTTGTTTAAATATATGATAAATTTTTATTCCATGTTCGTCGTCACGCAGACATTCCAACTGGGATTTTACAGTTACCATTTTACAACAAAGGAGTCGAGTAAGTCACACGTCTGACAGAAAATATAAATTTTTAAAACTGAAATTATTATTATTATTATTATATATATAATTATTATTTACTTATCATTTTTCCGTATGATTTGCGTTATACTATCAATGACCATACTACCCATTTCTACAGCGTCGTAAATTACGGCGCCATCGGTGTGATCATCGGACACGAAATCATGCACGGATTCGACTTCGAAGGTAAGTGCACATGTGTAAAAATTGCCGTAGTTCCAATAGTTCCATTTTAACTTTTAACAGATAACGACAGATTATCTACGATAAAATTTACTGAAGGCTGAATTTGTATTAGAATACAAATAAATTACTTAGAATATTGAGAAATATTGGTATTTGATAAAGATAAAAACATTCAAAAAAATTACTCACAACCGTTTATTGTAAACTATTATGGACCTAATTTTAATCATATTTGTAACTCAACTTGAAACAACACAAAATCCATTGAGTATGTTGTTAAACAATTTTTTTTTTTTTTTTAAACTTTTGTCATAAATTTTAATAATATCAAATGCCATTTATACATAATTAATAGATCCGTAGTTGATTTAATAAATATAAATTTTTCGTTAAAGAAATATTGAATATTTATTATGGGCACCCCAATCTTCCGATAGTTAGTTTTAGCACCGTGTATATAGTGCTGTTACTACAATAATTTATATATTATAATATTATAACATTATGTCATCGCGGTTTAGGTAAGAATTACGAATCCTATGGCCAAAAGATATCGCAATGGTCATCAAACGCGGAGCGTGAGTATTTGCGTCGGGCGATGTGTTTCGTCAATCAGTACAATCAGTTCGAATTAACCCCAAGCACTAGAGTAAGCATTATAATATGGTCCATGCACACTTATGTCGCGATTTTTCAATTTTTACATATTGATTATGGTAGATAATATTAGAGCTATTTTTCAAGTACCTTATAGCTTATAAATATGATATTACCTTATACGCTTTTAATTTTTGTATTAAACAATGGAAACACTTCGTGTGGAAAAAAAATTGAGGCTTATAATATTTATATGCCACAGTTGTATTATTTATAAAAAACAGTGTGTCTATATGGAACACATAACTATAATCCGTGATGACAAAACATTATACTATAAATTCTATTCATTTTAACATATATTGTAAATATAAAAATCATCCCTATGAAAAAACTTTAACAGTAAAACGTTTTTGAAAATGTTCTGTTCTTTATTCATATATATATATATATATATATATATATATATATATATATATATACAGAGTCACGTTTTTTTTCTCTTCGAAAATCTCTTAAATATAGATATTATAAACAATCCATTTACCATATCAATGGATCGATTTAAAAATTCTTTTCAACTTATCTAAGTCAAATTATATTATACACATAAAAATAATATGTTGTTCTCGATTAAGAACCTTTCCATTTTTAAAATACTTCGATGATGATTTTAATAAGAGAACATTTTTATTAATTATTTATTACTTACATCATTGGAAATGCAATATACTTATGGAAGTCAACATTTTAAAGTTTATATACTTTTACTTTCACTTTTAAAATTTTTCTCATAAAAAAATATCACATTATTTAGAGTGATTTGACAAGCATAATAACCCGTTTTCTTCTTCTTGTTCTTTTTTATTAGAATTCAGATTTTTGGAATTCAAAATATAGTTTATTTTCAAATACTTCAATTTTTTGTATACCATAAAAAAAGTTTCCTATTGCAATACAAACTTATATTTGTTTAAATGAAAATCACTACTTTTTACTGTTTATTTTGTTGTAGTGCATGAAGTTTAATAATTCAGAAACTTGTAACAATTCGTTCAAATAAAAAAAAATATCTGCTTAAAAATGTTAAGTAAAAATGCGTAGTTTTTATTTTGAAAAATAGTAATTTTATCACCATAAGATATTCTATAAATTAATTATAAGATCTAAGTGTTTATCCAGATAACAATTTCTTAACTTAAATATTCTTAGAACTTTATAACTAAGTTTCATCAATAATATTATATGTTTAATGTTATCATAATATTTTAGGAATATTTTAAAAATAATATTTAACATATAACATTTTCAAAATGTTTCAAATGTAATATTATGAATTCTATTCAGTGAGAACATTTCAAAAATATTAAATTGAACGAATAACATATTTAAAGTATATTCTTTACAATATGTATATCAAATTAAATTTGTAAGTTAAAAATAAAACTTGTAAAATATTTTAAAAATGTCATATTAATAAAGTAAAATAATATTATTATTTAAAATATATTTTTAAATGTTCTCCTTATCTTTTTTTAAAAACCTAAAATATAAACTATATATTATTATGTAATATAATTAATTATTCTTATGTAAATAACATATTAATGAGTTATGCTATACTACAGCTACATAAAAATTACTGAATTTTTATAACATGTAGTGGTATACATAGAAACACGAAGTAAAAAGAATTAAGTGAATACAAAGTAGTAAAATACATTGTAAAAATAGAATTAGTTTGTAAAATAATACACAAAAATGTTTAAATAATAACGATTATTACATAGAATTAAATCTTATTCTGGATCTTGATTTCAGTGAGATACGGTATCTCAGATAACAAATCAAATGTTCTACGATTTAAAATTTTAAACTTAACAAATATTTTGGTTAATATTTAGGCAGTTTAAACTATAAATGACCTAGCCAATAACGTCCTATACTACTTCGAACGCAGTTTTTACGATTAATGAATACAATATTATATTTAATATATCATTATCGCGAATATAATATTATTGACAATGTTGTTTGTTTGGGTCGTAAAACTTGATAACGAACCTATAGTGGCTAGAAGTGATCATATAATTTAGATTTCATGATTATAGGTAATAGCTATAGGTAGGTTTATTTTACATGTACTTTTAAAAACACGAGATATTGTCACAAATATCGATATAATATTGACTTATTCATTTGTTCATTTACATACAAAATGTATAACAATTTATGAAGGAAAATACTTATTGAGAGCAATGTAAAATATAAAATATATGTTATATAATTATGGTTCATTGTAATACAAACATGTTGAACGAATTTATCACTTGTGGTACTTGATAATTTTAGACAAAATCCCTGATCGTGATACTGTAGGAAACATCTTACTACTGGCAATTTTTAATATACCTACCGGCTGTATCACTTAAATTCTAATAGCAATACGTAACTGAACGAAGTACATCATA